ACGTCATGATTGACCCGATTCTTATTGGGTCTGCAACTGTATGAGAAATGAAGGAAGATTGAGAGGTAAGAAGAATTGGACTTGGGTAAAGATCGAATTTTTGTTTCAGATTTTCCAACGAAATAGAGATAGCGGAAGAACAATGGATTGAATGAAAGAGAGAGGCAGGAAGAAAGAGATATGTGTAAAAAAACAAACTTAAAATTCAAAAAATCTATTTGTTAAGCAAAATCGTGTAGAAAATTAGAGAAAAAGTTACTGGTTAAAGGCAACTGGGTTGTATCAGTCCAAAGAGAGAATGGTAAGAGGCATTGGGATAATGGTGCCGTTTATTTAGGAGTACGGAACCTAAATAAGCCATAAAAATATGTAAGTGATCAAAATAAATCACTATTTTAGTATGTAACTAAAATAAGATTAGTGGAAAAAAATTTTCATTTTATTTAATTTTCTAAACGTTTTTCGTTAGTGTTATAACATATATTTTAATATATAACAAAAAAATTTCTTCCATTTTATAAAGTGAAACTTTTCTTCCACTTTATAAAATGGAACTTTTTCTTAAACTTTATAAAGTACAAGAAAATCTTACACTTTATAAGAGGACTATTTTTCACGTTTTGAAGAAACGTTACAGTATTGTCATACAATTATATGATTTGATATATTATAAAAACAAAAAAAAAGTTACAGTATGTATTTTTATTTTTTTATTCTGGAAAATCTTCCAATCTCTATTTAAGGACGTTTAAACATAGATGATAACACCTACAACATAAAGTCTTCTATTTTTCTTCATTTCAATCTCAAAAAAAAAATGTCTTCTACACCTAAAGTTAAAGTTTTAATTTATTGGGATAACGAAATTATACATGACGAAAATACCGTTTATTATAATTGTCCTCCCAAACACAATGCTAAATATCCAATCGTTTTTTTACAAGGCATACCGTTTAAAGTTTCAATTTTTTTACAAAGTGAAAGATTTGTTTCCACTTTATAAAATGTAAGCAAAAGTTCTACTTTATAAAGTGGAAGAAAAAGTTACACTTTATAAAGTGTAAGAAAAAGTTTCGTTTTATATTAAAAATACACGTTATGATACTAACAGAAAACGTTTAGAAATTGGATGAAGTGAACCTTTTTTCTTCCACTAAGCTTATTTTAGTTACATACTAAAATAGTGGCTTATTTTGTTTACTTTTATATTTTTATAGCTTATTTAGGTTCCGGACTATTTAGGTGGGTCGAATAATTGGATTAAAAATAGGAAATTAGTTTTTTTTTTGAAATTCGAGTAATTGGCTCAATTGGGGTTAATTTTGGGGATTTTATTTAATTAGGGATAATTTTGGTGAAATTAGTAACGGGAGAGGTAAATTTAAATTCATATTAACGGCGATGATAAAATCAAATAATAAACCAAAGTTGAGGATTTTTTTACCCTTTTCCCAACTTAAAAAGATAACTAAGTTCTAAATAAGAGTAATAAAGAATATGATGATAAAAAAAAATTTAAAAAAAAACTTAATTGGAGATTTTCAAATAATTATAAAAATATATTTATTTAGATTTTTCAAAAATGATTCTTTAAAATTAGTATAATATAAAAAGTTCAATACAAGTACGAGGTTTGGCAGGTAAAAAAGTTGGAAAGTCCACATATTTTCGTCAATTTTGATTGTTTCTTGAAAATATTAGCTATGGTACACTTAATTGTTTTATTTGATAATATTAAAAAATATCAATAATTGATGTTTTTGTTGTTTTTATCATTAAGATGAATATATAACTTAAATCAATCTCAACCATAAATTACTATAAGTACACATGACATGAATTTATAAGGCTATTGAACATTACTTGACCTAAATATACTTGACCGGATCTTTATCCATATAACTTTATGGTGAAAAGGTATTTTAATTTTTAATGCGCGTAACCTTTTAGTTTTTTTAATTCAGCGCCAACGCGTTAAACCATTCAGCCAAACAATTGCAGTGTGTAGCTCTCCTACCTACTCCAATTATAGAATATTAGCTGAATTTGTAAGGCAATATACGTTTATTAAAAAAATATTTAAAAATCTAATTTAAATTATTTCTTTATATATCGTCATTTTTAATTTTACATGAAAAATTGAGTGAGTTTATCATTCTATCCTTATTTAAGTTTTTTTAAAGTCAACTTTTTGTCAATGAATATGAAATTATTTATTTTGATTGATTGATTTGATCAAAATGAAAATGAATTATGCATTTAGTATTTCTACATTAATTAAATTTAAATTTTTAAGGTTAAATAACTCATTGGGATAAAATAGAAAAAATATTGTAGTTTATGCATTGATTTTATGAAATGACAAGCATTATAAATCAACTATTTATAGTAAGGAGGACATATACAAAGAAACGAAGTGAGTATATTTTTCACTATACTCTTTTTGTTTATTCTCAAGTTATTCTTACGAGTAGTATTACTTATCTCCTAAAAAGTGTAAAACTTCATTAAAGATAAGGGCAATTAGGAAAATTTTCAAACATTTGTCTTGTACATTGAACAATTCCAATATTTCGATCAATACGAAAATATCTAAAAATTCACTTAATATGAAATAGAAAGAGTATTAAATTATGGGTTGAGAGTATAACTAATCACGGTTATGATGAAATGTATAAAATCTTTTCATCTTCCACGGAAGTTATATGTTTGAATTCTAAATACGAAAAAAATTCATTAGAGAGCATTTCTCTTATTTAATACTCTCACCACTTCATATATTTAAAACATTATTAAAAATAGACATCTTTTAACTTATTTGTCAATTTACAAAATCAAATTGGAATTAGTTAGATTTTTTCTCATTTTACCCTTACAATTAATTCTTTTAAAAAATATAAAGAAGTAAACAAAGTTTCAAAAAAATTCCTTTTAGGAAAAAAATTAGTAAATATCCTTTGTATAAGGGAAGAGGTGGATAATTATTTTTTTTATTTCACATTTGGAGTCCAGAATCCACATTAGAGGTTCGACTAAACTCGGATCGCATATTGCAGGGCCTTTTCGAGGACAGCGTTTTCAACAGGATTTTTTGCATACCCAGGGCTTAAACCCGCAACCTCTGGTTAAGGGTAAAGCACTTTCACCACTGCACCACAACTCATATTGGTGAACAATTACTATAAGATTGAAGGAGCAGATCTTATATAATGTGAAATCGAACTAACGAAGAGTTTATTAATACCGAATGTATCTCCAACCCAACAAAAAAAAAAACCTAGTTTGAATACAAGGTCTCTTTTAATGTATTCGTGTGGGTGATCAATAAAGATCGCAATCTTGAACTACCTTTCCATCGTACTAATATTGTTGGAACATGTTATCTACCTACTTGTTATCTAATTTAAAATCGTGGTAAAATTTGATGAATTATGACCGAGTTTTGAGGGTTAAGATATATTGAGTTGTAAAGAAATGTGTTATAAAATATTTTATTCGAAAATTACTTGGAAGGAAGATGAACAGGCTCAAGATTGACTAAATAATAAAATATTACTCACAATTGTTAGAGATCAATTGTTATTGATTGTAGTTTATCTAGGTTGCGAAAATTGAATTTAAACAAATGGATTAACAACCATTTTATTGATTGTAATTTGTATACGTTATTTCTTTGATCTACTTTATCTTTCTCAATATCTTGTACTTTTTTATTAGGTATATGTGCATTTCTCTTCACGTGTTTAAATTTCTTTTTTCGTTTTTTTATTTTCCACCTAAAAGATCATTCATATCTTATTCTGAATATCTTTGATCATTTTTAATCATATCTCTTCTAATATGTGTTAGGATCGAATTCACGCACACACACTAGATGAATGAAGAACACAAGAACTTTCAAGAGATGAGAGATCTAGAGAGAGAAAGAGAAAACCCAATATTCGTACTAACACCCCGTAAGTAAACTTCCACGGCGGCGAGGTATAATTATATTAATTAATCAGAGTATTTTTTGTTACAGAGAATAAATAGAGAATAAATGGGAAAGCCTAAAATTTAGGTCAGGGCGCTGCCCCGAACCCCGCCTTCGGATGGAGGACTCCCGAACCCCATAACCCCCTGACAACTTCACCACGGAGGTTAAACCGCGTAAACAATTATATACATTAATCAGACTCCACTATCTAACAATATGCTTATGTAATCATTTCAAAATTGTCATTTATGTTATTTTGCTCTTTTGAACATGCATATCTTGACCGATTGATAGTTTGTCTCGTATAACACAAGAGATAAATATATTCTAGACAAAATAATATTTTATCTCATATTTGATGAATGTTTTAACTTTTTGTTGTTTATTTAATTTTTTTACTTCTTTCTTGAAGCTTTCAGCCATTTTCCCATCGATTTATTTCTTTTTTACTCAGAGCTCTAACAAAAAATATTTATTATGTAATTCTTCGAACAACTTCCTCTTATCAATTTTGGAATTTGCAATCTCAGAATTATATAGTTTTACACCAAACTCCACGTGAGATGAAAATCTCGATTTTAATTACTAATCGGGGATGTGACATCTAATTCAGAGGTCTAACTCCATTTATTACTCAAATAAACAGAGTTCATTTATCATTACTCTAAAAGGTACTCTCCATATTTATTGATTTTACTGTTCTTTTTTTCTCTAGTTATTCGTATATTTTTAAATTAACACACTTTTTTTTAAAAATAATTATTAATATAGTAATTTTATTATTTTATTTTTATTAATTATAAAATAAACTTATTAAAATTTAAAATTTTTAAAAGTTTTAATTTTTTATAAAATAATTAATTGAGGATATAATAAATAAATAAATAAAATTTATTCTTTCTTGATTTATCAAAATGAACGAATAATTAAACATAACTATAAAAAAATAAATTAGGGACGGAGAAATATTATTTTTGGATGAGATGGTAAACAAGTAAAACTGAATTAGGAGTACAACTAAAAGAAAGCAAAAATCCATTAATTCAATCGAAGAAAAAAACTTATCCGAGTAGGGTGTTTACACCAAAATTTATTATCATGTGCTTTGGTGAATTAAAACACATGTTAATAAAAATTGAGTAAAATAAACTATAAATTTAAACGTGACGTGCATGTATTGAATTAGCGTGAACACCGAATAAGTTTCACCGATTTAATTGTTTACTCTTTGGTACAATCAGCTGTTCCTCTCTTGGTGTTTGGTTTGTTGAGAAATGTTTCTACAAAAAAAGAACTTTCTGAAACTCTTCTCAAAATTTTCAAAACAAACCAAACATCAGTTAAAGTAAATCCATATCACTCTGTTTCTTCCTTCCTGTCCCTGACTCTCATCTTCAGGGACGGGACGGAATTTATGACGATCAATGATCGCCATTACATAGGCCCCACCTATTCATTACTGCCAATCTGATTTCTATCATCCTCGCGATCTTCTTCTTCATCATCATCATTATTTTCGTCTTCATCTGAGGATAAATGCACAAGCCAACAACTTCCATGTAAATGCCCATTAACACACACAAAATACTCCAACCCGTTTTCTATGGTACCCAGCCTCCGCGCTGCGCTCTTTGGTATAAGCCTAGCAGCCGTCATACTCCAAACCCTACCCCCGCAAAACGGACACCTCACTCCTTCTTCAACCTCCAATTCTTTCGTAATCAAACACGCCCTCGTCTTCGATCTCATAAATCCCCCAAATACCCCTCTGAAAACCCCTAAATCATCACTCCTATCGCTGATTTCGTGCTCACACGGATCACTAACGTACAATAAATCCGTTCTACATCTCCTCATTAAGAAACTCCGACCCGACGTCTTCGAAAATCGAGAAGATTTCATGAAATGACCCGGATATGATTGACCCGTTCGAAAATGTCGGGTCGGATTACACCCGCAGCAGTAAAACAACAATTTCGCCATAGCTTCCCATTCCCCTCCGATCCGACCATTCGGCGCACCCTCCATTAACGACGCTATCATGCGCGGTGCGCGATAAATACACATCTCCTTCCACAATAACCTTTTCGCTAATGCTCGTAGATTTCGATTAACCGACGCCGTTTGACATAAGGAACGAACATCCCACTTCATAGAATCAAAAACCAAACGAAGAATTATCTCATTATGAATGGCTGAATCGTCCCCTGACGACTCAGCTATTCTATTCAAATTCAACCTTCGTCTTTGACAGTGACTCTGACTCATCTTGTTAAATCAAATTCTCTGTCTTTTTGAAAACTTGATTTTTGGTGCGTATATATAAATCGTAAAACTCTGGAATCACATGGTCGGACACGTGTAACACAAGTAATAGATAAATGATAACTATTTCATCCAATATTAATATTTTCTCTAATAAGGGTACGTGGAGCTCTTTGATTGGTAGACATAACCATGAGGGGATATGATTTGATGTGTTGTAGAATCTAACGACAACGTATGCGTTTGGAATATAGTGAAAATACATGGACACGTGTCCTAATGAAGTTATAATTTTTAGTTGCTCAAAATATCTTAGGGAGTACGTGGCGGGATTTTAGAAGGGTAAGTTTTATTAGTGCGTAAAACGCTGAAATGTGAGCATTAATTTTGTTCTTGTTTTCAAATGATTTGGTCACATGTGTATGTGATCTAAGACGTACACGTATATAATAGGAATTGATTTTAAATTTGATTGAGATTTTGCGTGTTAAATTTTTAATATAATTTAAATAAAAAATTATTATAAGTAACAATAATTAATATCTTAAAATATTTAATAAATTTATGAAATATTAAATTTTTAAATTTAAAAAATATTATATAAAATAAGACGGAGAAAATATTTACAGTCACATGCATGGTCTCGTCAAAGGTTATATTTATGTCTAATAATAATAATTAAAAAAAAGATGCATTTTGTTGGAAAATATTTCGTGTCAGAAAATGGAACAAGGGTTGTCTGTATTACTTTTCCAACTTTGTTTGGATGGTTGTTTACTTTTAATTAAAAATACTCTCGTGATTTTTTGTTTATTCGTTATTTAATATATTTATAAATAAAATAATATTAATATAATATATATTTTTGCACATATTTTAATATATACACACAAATTACAAGTAATATATTATTGTATTATTATGAGTGGTCTTATGTCTCAACTCTTATCTATATGTCTATTGTATTATCAGTACATATGTGATGCGCCCTAAAATTATGGCACATTTTCTGCCATAACGTAAAATTTCCCATTGAGGAGTATATAAAAACAAAAGACCCACTAAAAGATTTTTAAAAATTAACAAAAATCAAAGCCGAAGAGGAGATAAATATCTTGTTATTTTATTTCTTCTAATTTATGTGATACTGATATAAATTTTATAAGAATAAGAATATTTTTTGAAATTGGTGGTATGAAATAAACATTAAACATTTGTATTGATCATAAATCATTTTATTAGAATAAAAATTAAAAATTAAGTTACTTTGATTTTTAATTATAAAAAATATGATTTTTTTTTAAAACACACAAATTATAAAACTATGCCACATACATTTCTACTCAAAATGTCTTTAATACACAAAGCTCCCTCTATTTATAGAAGTGTATTCCTTCTTTAAATATTGAAATGTTTAAGTGATAAAGATAGATCCTTAACTTATTGCATTGTGAAATGAAATGGACGTGGCACAAAATTCTGTTCTTTCTTTTTTGCTATATTCATGATTTTCTTAAACATTGTTAGAAAACACACACAAAAAAATAATAAAATGTAATGTAACTCTATTAATCTAAATAGTATATTTTTAAATATATAATATTTGTATATTTTATATTCATCAAAGGACGTGGCAAAATAAATTATGCATGGTGTTGTGTAACTCGTTAGTTCTAAGTTCTGACTTCTAAATATTATATCTTACACCTAAGCACTTAAGTTTAATTTTTAAATTTGTTATGTCAATTGCAAGTTGAGGCTGGGGGAGTTCAATTCTAAAAGATGTCATATGTGATATGAATATGACAGATGATATATATACACCCTTTAATTCAATTCTATACAAGAGGAGTTTAGATATGAAATATTGAAAATATCATATGAATGCCCTATATGGAATTAGCAAAATTGCATAACTTTTGGAGGCTTTAATGTTATTTTTCAATCACCCCACCAAAAAAAGAAAAACCACCCAATTAGTAGGATAGACAACACAAACAAAAAATGAAAAATTGTTTTTGCAAATAATTTAGAAGTAACAAGGCATTCTATTATATACTACTAAAGTTGGTATTTAATGAAACTGAAAATGATTTAATATATCTCTTAGTTTTGCGATTTAGACTTGATATATTTCTCATTACAAAAGTGACTCATATATATCTTTTTATGTTATAAAAGTGGCTCACATAAAAACCTTATATTACAAAAGTGGTTCATACATACCATTTTCCTCTAATCACTGTCAAAATATAAATTTTAAATTATTTTTTAAAAAAATAATCATGTAGATGTATATATGATTCTTCTACAAAGTTTAGGATATATTTGATCTTTCTCACACATGAACTTTTACTTTTTTCGATTCAAACCCTAATTTAAGGTTTAAAATATTTCTCTTATGGATCTATTTGTTTGGAGTTTTCAAGTGTCTGGATTGGTTTAAAAGTTGGTTATACCTACTTTTACATCAGCAAGTGTTTGACAAATAAAAAAATAACTTAAAATAAGTCAAAAAAATGATCTAAAATAAGTTAAGAAGTATTTGACAATGTTAAAAGTAACTTAAAATAAGTTAAAAATCAAAAGTAGGCATCCTCATGCTTTTTATTTTTTGACTTAAAACTTAAAAATCATTTAAGTTTGACTTAAAAGCTACTTCTTTTAAGTCAATCCAAACGAGCTCTTCCGTTTGAATTGACTTTAAAAAAATAGTTTTTAAATCAAACTGATATGACTTTTAAGTCAAAAAATATATGTAGGGAAAGACCTACTTTTTATTTTTGACTTATTTTAAGTCATTTAGACATTGTCAAAAACTTGGTAACTTATTTTAAGTCATTTTGACTTTTTAAATTACTTTTTGTATTTGTCAAACGCGTCTAGAAGTCAAAAACTTACTTTAAAGTAGGTTTGACTCACTTTTAAGTCAATCCAAACACCCTAATCTTATTTATTATTTTTCTTTCATTATTATTGTAAAAATATGAGAAAGAAAAAAAGTGTGAGTGGAAAAAGAAAAAAATATTTCTTTTGTGGTTATATTGTAGCATCTATGATGAATTTCACAATAAAATATGAGTCGAAATTAAATTTAATTATTAAAATAATAAATTCAAAATAATTTTTAATCAAAATCTAAAAAATATATATCTTAAATTAAAACTCTTGCTTCCGCTAGATTTAAAAGGGTATATATATGTTATTTGTGTAAAAATAAAAATATATGTGAATCACTTTTATAATGAGAGATAAATTAACTTTACATCACAAAGTTAGAGATATATCGAGCCATTTTCCATTAATGAAATATCCTATATTACCCCATTTGAAAAGTAACCATTGGAGCGTAAGAGCCTCTTTGACGTTGTTGTTGGGAGATCAAAAGTATTTTTTTTTTTGAAAAATTAAGTGTTTGGCAAATCCCTATAAGTTCTTTAAATGAAAGTATGAAACAGTTTTTTTACGGTTGTGAAGAAGTTAAAAATATCTACTTCTTAATTAAAGTAGAAGTTTTTTGAAGACTAAGATATCCCTTCCATATATAAATATTTATCAATGTATCCCTTGTTAACTATTAGCATATCTCATAAGTTTGGTTAAGTTTAATTGAATAATTTTATTTTATATTTTTATATAATAGTTAT